CTTTTTATAGAATACCAAGAGAAGGACACATTGTACATTTTGCAAGATATGAACACACACTCTATATATTTTAATTCAAAGTAGGATTTGACATGGACATTTTAGACTTGTATGTGTATTTCCAATCAATATTTGCAACAGTCTTTGTGTAATGCAACTGTCAAAATGAGTAAGATTTGCAAGATGAGGAATCAAGGACAAAACAGTCTCTATTTCATGAACATGTATGGAACATGTACTGTGCCATGATGTTTCGTAACTGACATGAAACAGCTGTTCATTTACATATGATGTAGATTTAGGCCTATACTTTAATTGAAAATGAGATATTTGGATACACAGATTTTTGTAAATAACAGTATGTTTTTTTAATGGAAATGATGAGAGATACACATTTTGTACATGCACGGGTTTGTAAGTTTAATAGAATTTTATGGCAAACCCGTCTCTATTGTATTTGCATTTTACATGCATGCAGGTGCATTTGTGAGATGTTCATGTAATTAATAATTTGAAATGCTACTTTAATGTATGGGCGTACTGTAAATGGACCATTTCAATATTGTTTGATTCATCAAAGGTTTGGCACTGACACAGTGTGGTTGCTTTTAATACTTTTTTTTCCAATCGCATGAGACGCATATTCTATATTAGTGCTAATATAAGGGAGCATTAACTCATACATTTACATAGCGTTAATATCCTTTTTGCTCTGAGAATAGATGTACATGGTATACCAGTCATTTTTACCAGGCCTCAAAGCATTTCAAAGCATTCCAATGAGTGGATCTGTCATCAAGTAATTGATTAGTACATCTGTTTTTAGAACTGCCCATTTTTGTTTACAAAAAATTGACCTATCATAGAGTTTATGACCATTGTTATTTGCATTTCAAATGGTCAATATTTGGAAATTTACTTTTGACAAATGGCTCTATTTGATCATCGTGACAAATCTCTAAATGCTCAGAATTAGTTCATGTATTATAGTTTAGTGCAAGTCTAGAGCTAGTGTTACATGTATTATTCGACATATAGAATGTGCATGTAAGTAAAGGGAAAAGAAAGAGAGAATGTAGAGAGAGAGAGAGAGAGGAGGGGAGAGAGAGAAGATATATATATATATATATATATATATATATTTAGAGAAAGAGAGAGGGGGAGGGGAGAGAAAGAAAGGGGGAGAGAGAAGAGAGAGAGAGAGAGAGAGAGAGAGAGAGAGAGAGAGAGAGGGGGGGGTATACTTTCATGTTCTACCCATTTAGGCACTGGTAGACTAAATCATAAATTGCTAAAATTTAAAGTGCATAAAGCTCTGTTTACACTTGATGTTGAAAACCGCTTCAGGAAATTACCCCAGCGAAAAGAAAAATGATATAAAACCATTTCATGTAATAAATGAAAGACAAATGGGTCATTCTTTGTAATTTGTTTGCTATAATGCTCCAGATATGCAATATTCACTGAGCAAATTTTCATTTATTTTGATCTTTGCACAGGGGTTTACTGGTTCATGTTTGAATGAGGCTTGAACATTAACTCATCTAGCCATTCTGATGCTAAAGTGATTTCTGTTTTGATAGGTTTCCAGATTTCCTGTCTCCACGTCCATGTTGAATTTAAGAGAAAAATCGCGCCCACTTTAAATTGTCTTTGGTCAGTCTTCTTTTCATTAGATCTCCTCTTTTTTCTGTTTTCTCTTTCTCTTTACCCTGAATCTCCACTTCTATGCATTTTCTCATGCTCATTCTCATCCATTTCTTTTTGTCTCTCCTCTCCTTTCCCTCTAGAAGTCTCCAGCTCTATAAGGATATCTGTTGCTCTTTGAATTTATTGCATTCTTTCTGCTTACTCCTAGTCTTTTTTTCTCTCTCTACTTCTCTCTCTCCCTTTCTCTCTCACTCTCCCTTTTTCTTTCTCTTTTTCTTTCTCTCTATCTCTCTTCCCCTCTCCTCCCTCTCCTCCCTCTCCCCCTCTCTCCATCTCCCCTTTCTTAGTTTTTATCCCTCACTCTACCCACTCTTCTCTCTCCCTCTCTCTCTCTATCTCTCTCTCTCTCTTTCCAACTTTGTTTCTTTCTCTCTCTTCTCTTGTATACCTTTTATCTCATGTTATAAAAATGGATCCGCTCAACCACTTTCCCCGTTGTTACCTCTCCAAACATTCATCCATGTATGTTATAGGGCAAGATTAATTACTTCTTCCGACAAAGAGCTGCAGATATGATTCTGGAACACTAAGCAATGATTCCCGAAGCTTAGCGCTGGCAGATACATGGCTTTGTTGAATAATGTGATGTGACTCACCTATTGATCTTCACATGCTGATCGAAAGTGTAAAATTATGCCTTTGGTGTTATGCCAGTAATATTGGGCACAATGCCTCGATTTTCGACAGTTGCTGTCATACATGTTGACTGTCTTCAATTTTTAACCTTGGAATACTTACAATACATCAATACGTTAAAGGTATAGCGTTCTCAGTGGATTTCTTTCTTTTTTGTAAACACAAAAGTGGCTGTATTCAGTATTGTGTATAGTATTATACACATACATCTACATGTATATAAAATATTGAAATATGTTTAAAATTACTACCGGTATGCTAAAAACTATATTTTATTATTCATTTTCTCAAATTAACATCTGTTAATTCCCCACAATCATAATACAAATAAGAAGTGTAAATCTATTGAATTACGATTCAATTTCTTACAGATTTATAGAATATTCTTTGCTATGTAGTAAACTTCTTTGAGTGAAGAGGACAACTTATTAGTTTCGTGACAGAAGGGTGTTAAATCATACATGTACCCCCCCCCCCTTCTGGCTCTTAATGTATATATTGTTATGGTTGAGGTCTTCCAGACCTTTAATCCATCCCACCATCTTAAACGTGCCTAATGGCTGGGTTAATTAGCAGCTGATTCAGCACATAATCACCCCTAACGAGGTCAGGTCCTTGTAATTAACTTCCCACTCTCGACCGGATAGAAGGAGGAGAAAGCAAATGGGAGTTGTGTGGTAAAAGGGGGGGGGGAGGGGTCTTGATTTTGCGGAGGCTTCTTTGGTTTAATTTCTTCTAAAGAATAATGTCTGCTGAATTCTGATGGGAATATAAAAAAAAGGAACTGGAAAAGAAGGTGTGTAATATGAATTCTCTGATGTGTTTATCTGATTGAATTGAGAAATACGAGCTGAATTTTCACAGGAATAATGACAAGAACTGGGGGAAAGGGAGGTGAATTTTATTCCTGCAATCTACTTTTCTTGAGAAGGTAACTGGAAGAGGTGGTGGTTCTTGATAATTTCTTCAATGTAATTTTTCCTGAAAAGAAAAACCAACAATATACTGCATTTTATAGGATTGATAAGCAGGATTTTTTTTTTTTTTTTTGGGGGGGGGGGGGTGATGATTTTCCTTTAATTTTATTTCTTGACAAGAGATTTTTGCAAGAATGATTGAGAAGGAATCAGAGAGAAAGAGGGAGTCTTGATTGCTCTTTCCTTAGAAGGGAATATGTTTATATCTAATGAAAGTGGGAGGAGAGAGAGATGAATTTCTCAATTAACAGCTTCTTCATTTCATGTTGAGAAGAGAAATACATGTTCATGTCTGCATGATTTTGGGTGGAGTCGACAGAGAAAGGAACTGACTTATACAGTGATTAAAGTAGAAGAAAAGATGCAATTGAAATTAAAAAAGAAGATTCCTTTATTTTCCGAAACGTCCTTCACAACTACATTAATAAGCTGCTGATTCTTTGTGCATTTCCTTTTCTTTCATTATAGGCCAGCTTCTTATTTTTCAACCCCTCTTATGCAGTCTAGTGACTATTTTTTTCATAACATCTCCATCGTCATCATACTTAGCCTTACACGTAGACAACATAGATAGCAAAATAACGATAACTCTCATTATACAAAACATGTTACGCAAGGATGTCTGCATTAACGATGGTTTCGTCCTTCAATTTTCAATACACCTGTGTACATGTATATAGGCCGAATACATCATTACTACATTTCTTGTATTGTCGATGGTACCTTCATCAAAAAATTTGTCAAGCTACATGTAATGACATTGTTACTGTCCATGATTAAAGGCTCTAGCTATTCAGTTTCCTGACGTTTAAACTTTTACAGAATGCAAAATTGTTGATTTAATTCAAGGTTATGACAAAATTGGAAGACACAGAGATTCATGTAAACGAAAGGGATGGATAGAAAATGAATAAAGGTTATAAAACAAGCACAGGAAAAAAGCACAGGTTTGATAGTGATAAAATGATATGTTAAAATTTCAGCTAATAAGTGTTAAAAGGTGTTGAGATAAGTTAAAAGGTTGATTTATGTGGGTATATGTTTAATAGTGCATAGGGAAATGAGTTGACTGATATACATTTTAGGCTATGCGATATTATGATTTAAATTATCACCATCATCATCTTCATTATCATCATTGTTAATCATCATCATCATTACCACCATCACCACCACTACCACTAACACTGTTACCACCATTTTTTTATTGTCAAGAAAGAAAAAATGGTGATGCAAGTGATTTTCTGCCTTTCTTTGTATTTTCCTTTCAAGTAAAGAATGTTGTCACATATATGATACACAATACATATCTCCACATGACATTCATGCATGTGTATTGAGGCCAATTAACTAGCCTCTCTTTGTTTTTTATGATGATCTGTTTGACAAGAAGATGACTTCTGTATTTAAATTCACAAAATAATGGATACATGTACATGTGATTGTACAAGTCTCTTGGGTAATTACAATTATGGTCTGCTAAGTGAAGACAATAAGTATTTATTGTAATTATGGAGTCTGTAATCTGTACTTGTAGATCAGTTGTAATCATAATACATATGACATGTCGATTTACCTATTTTTTCTTTCTCTCTCTCTCTCTCTCTCTCTTGTTCTCTCCTTTACACAGTGGTTAAAAATAATGAAGAAAATGTGAAGAAGATTCTGGATGTTATAAATAAAAGAGATGGAGGTAAGTCACTATCTTTATTGCATTCTTTCTTTAGCCACTATGAGCAATAAAAAAAAAAACATATATGTATGATTATATAGAATAATATTTTTTTTAATGTATAACTACATGCATGTTTGTGTACTATGTACGGTAGACAAATTAACCCTCAATCACCTTTACCCAGCCTTCTATTGGTAAATGGTTAACAAGTATGAAAAGAAAATAATAACATGAAACATGTTGCACAGTGCTACAGTAAGTCAGACTTTGGTTCTGTGTGTACTGATTGTATGGGTGCGCTGAGTAGTCTACTGACAAGTCGCTTTAACCCATCATTTATTAAAGAGTGTAATAAAACATACAGCTGTTATGTACAGGATTGATATTATAAAGCTGATAATTTTATAATGTCTTTAAACGCAGGACCAGGATTTGGACAAAAATACATTTTTATGTTGGTCCCCCTTTAACAGTTAAATGGTTAAATGTACTTCTTTGTAGCAATTATTTGTAGCATTCTCTGTTGATGAGTCATTGTTTTACAAGCCTTTGATCATGATCATTCCATCATAATTCATTAAAAATTATTTATTCTAAATAATGTAATGTCTTTTCAAAGTTGAAAATAAACAATCTGCTTGTGATTGATATGAATACTTGAACTGATGCAGATCGACAATCACCATTTCTCTTTCAAAATTCTAACATTGTATAAAGCTCATCTCAGATTTATAAAACAAAAAAGGGGCGATAATAACTCAAAGTAGTGCTACTCCCAAACCTATTTGTCATTTGTAGCAGAATTAAATGTGTGTGGGGGGAGGGTTAAGTTATTTATAATCCAGATGGGATACGAGATTGAAAAGCTTCTTGATGGGAAAAATCTTCTCTTTAACACCTCGGGGAAGAAGAAGGGATGACATAAAAGAAGGGAGTGATGATTAATGTACTGTGTCTCATTTGTATTGTCCCCCAGGCTCATGCATTATGGGTACATCAATCATAGGATGTCTGGGATTTAACCCTCCCATTCTCGTAAAGTGGGCACTGTACCAATCGCCAAAAGATATACTCTTGTTAAGGGTTACGTGTAGCCATACTACATTCAAATTATGAGCTTCAAATACTACAGAACTCCTTTAGAGAGATACTGCAAGTTTGAATATACTCTCAATGAACATAATGTGATTTGTGAGAAGACAGCTTGAAGCTCTTGTGCATGCTTCCATGGAAAATGGCCTGCACGGAACCTAAGACGGACTTGGTTCCGTGTGAGCCAGTTTTATGTGATTTAATTTTCTTTATGTCCCATAACTGTTGACACATAGAATACCGGTAAAGTTTTTGAGGTTGATTTTATGCTGTCTTGCTGTTCATGGGTTCACTTTAGAATTGGGTAGTCCTAGCTGCCATACAATTTCAAAACGTCATCTCTCTTAGTCCCCAATTTTTTAGCTTTTGTCATGAGTTGTATCTTCTTTTGTATTTTGTCTTTTTCTCTGATATACATGTACTTAGTGTTTCTTTCTTCTTACTACTACCGTCTCTTCTCTCTCTAATTTGTTTGTCTCCCTCTTTCATATCCTCCCCCCCCCCACCAGCAAAATGAATGATTCATATAATATAAAATAATGAGTAATTCTCGCTACCCTAAATAGGTACGAAAATCTCGAAATTCGCGAGACGAGGTAATTTTCACTCTCTCGGGTCGTCACTACAACTTCCGGTATAGAGTCCCATCCCGCTGGCGCTAGCGCCTGTGTTCGCTGTGCAGAGTTTTCACGCACGCTAAAATCGATGCCAATCAGTGTAATTTGTACAGATTATAATATGCAATGGAAAGCTTCGGGCAGAATTAGTGACTTTAGCACAAAAGGCCGTTAAACTCTACCGTGAAAGAGAGGGTTGTGATCACGAACGCCTGCACAGGAAGCTGTAATGTCGAAAAGCTATCCCATAATGCAATGCGCGTTTTCAGGATTTTCCCCGGATCTCGGCAGAATCGCTATTTGGGGTAGCGAGAATTAGTGATGAATTGAACAAAATCCCTAATAATTCATTTTAAAAGCATTGTACTTGAATGAAATCCCATAATTTTTTTGTTTATCTTTGGGTGTATTTGTACAGCGAAATTCTTTTTATTCAGATAGTATGTACACAAACTGTACACACATGGCCATGGTATTGTTATCTTATCAATTGCTGTTACATCTGTTCCATTCTCATGATTCCATCCCTTTGTTCTTAATTATCCCTTTTTTCCCCTTAGATGTATGATGATTCAGCTAGTCACTCAACCCCGATGGAGATTGATTTTAACCCTGTGTCTGTTAATCAGATCATTGTTTTTCTATCTTTCATTCTGTCTGTCTGTCTGTACTCTCTTTAAAAAAAAGAGTGAATTTTCACTCTATTTTCACTCCCCGGGAGTCACATCAGTGTTCACTTGTTTAGGAGTGAATATTGATTGATTTTAGAGTGCTCTCTAAGAAGAAAAGAGTGAATGTTCACTATATTTTCACTACATTTTCACTCTCCAAAGGAGTCACGTCAGTGATCATTCAATTTTTTTAGAGAGAGTATATATACTTATATAATCATATACATATTATGAACTGTACATTTAGGTATATATATGAGGCTTATTCATTTACATGTTAGTGTACATCTACATTTATAATCATTTACATGTTAGTGTACATCTACATTTATAATACAATCATTTTATAGATATTAATTGCTTCCATTGCTTCATTCCTTCCTTAAAAAATATTTTTGAGAACAGCTGCTTCTGTCAACAAGATTTTTATTTGTGCATGAAATACACGAGCCTATGACTGCTACTTGTGTGGATTTACACTGTGCCATGTGAAAATTGTGATTGGCAGTTAGAGTCGATACAGATTATAGAGTGGGGGGAAAACAGGAGAAAGGGAAAACCCCAATTTTGTTGTTACAAAGTCAAATTCAAGGAAATGCATTTTGTATTCAGTAGAATTGTTTTAATGGAGTTAGATTTAACCATAACAAAAATGATATAAGTCTACATGTACATATAAAATATATTTTATTCTTATTTTGACAATTCTATTCATAAGTTCTTTTTATTGGTTAGAGATGTATAGTACTACATACATATCAATTTTGAATAATTCTTATTGTCAGTACCGAAACAAAATCTTATTCTTCTGTTTGCTTAATATTAAAAGTGCAATTTGAAAAAATGCCATCAAAGAAATTCAATGATAACCCCCAAAGGAAGATCATTTCTGTCCCCAATTATTTAGACTCCTTATATTCATAGCTTCCCCTGCTGCCTTGTTAAACAGTACCCATAATAGATTCATACGTTCAGAACCATAATGTCACTAAGCCATGAGACTTTTAATATCCAATGCCTTTATGATATACTCTCAAAAAAATGAAATATAATAAAAAAAAGATGATGAATGCCTTGACTCATCCATTACAAGGAGGGAAAGTGATTATCTTTCAAATCTGGGAAGAGCTTTGGATATGATCATACCATGGCAAGCTGCTTTATCAGATTATTCCTGTGTGTGCAGCAAAACAGCTGGAAGAATGGGAAAGGAAATAATGAAATTTTGGGTCGGGATATCATAACCAGAGAGAGAGGGGGGATTGGGGAGGGGGGGGTAAGAGAGAGAGAGGGAGGGATGGAGATAGAAAGAGATAGGGGAGAGAGAGAGGGGGGGAGGAAGAGGCAGAGAGACAGACATATCAACCTACATCAACAGGAGGGAGAGGGAGTAGAGGAATAGGGACAAGAGTGAGAGAGAGAGAATGAGAAAAACAAGGAAGAAGGAAAGAGTGAAACAACAGGTGGAGAGAAAGAGAAAAAGAAGGAGGAAAGAAAGAGAGGAAAGAAAGAGAAAAAGGAGAGAAAGAGAAGGAGGAAAGAAGGAGGAGAGAAAGAGAGAAATAGAAGAAGAAGGAGGAAGGAAGGGGGAAATGAAGAAGGAAAGAAAGACAGAGAAAGATGGAGAAAAGAAAGACAGAGATATTGATGTAACCTTGGATTAGTCTTCTATTATTCATATTGATGTTAGAGGGATTGAATGGGTGTAACCCTTGTAAATTATTGATAGTGATGAGGGAATTTGGGGGTGATTTTTCTTTGGCTAGACTATGGATTTGATGAATAATATTCTGGCGAATGGATGAAGTAGAATGCAGAAAATGATAGCTTTATCGCAATTTTCAAGCAAATATTAGAAGGCAATTTCTATGTTCAGAAAGATCTTAAAGTCCGTCTGTACTAGTTTGGCCAGGAGGGATTAGACCATCCAGCGTGGTCACTGACAGGTGGTTAACTCATCAAATCAGCTCTCAATTAACATTAGAAAAAGATGATCATGGGGGACCAACAGGCACCGCTTAGGCATTGTTTTCTATATAGAGGGAGCAAGTAGCTACAAGTAGAACAGTGGGGCTTTAAAGTATGGGAGATCATTTCTTTATTTAATGCATGTAATACCAATTTATTCCATCCTCTCTTTATCCAGGTACCAGTGGTATAGAAGTTGATACCAGTAATGGGCAGTCTCCTCCAGCAGATGGTCAGTCTACTCAAGGAGTCAGCTAGGAGCAAGAGGCTGTCTTCTATGATTTTACCAGTCATGATTATCCATATCAATCATCATATTAATTATCGATACCATTTTTTCATCCTTCTTCCAGGTACCACTGGTATAGAAGTTGATACAGGTAATGGACAGGGTCCTCCTGGAGTCAACCAGGAGCGCGAGGCTGATGTAGGAGCTGAAGGGAACCAGGCCAACTCTGATACAGCAGGACAAGGAGGTGCTCCAGAAAGTAAGAAAATTATAATAATTATGATAATAATTAAAATAAGCGAGCATAAAGCGCTTACCATCGAAGTCTCTTAGCGCAGTAACAAACGAAGTACAATGATAAACAATTACATATTAACAAAAAAAAAATTATTTAAAAAAAACCTTCAAATTACAAGCTTACTATAATCATACAAAAGGATGATGATAGTATTTAGTAGTATTAGCAAGAAGAAGAGCCACAATAGCAACATATACCTATATCCTGTATCCATAATTTTGAAAATAATAAAATAGTTGTAACGTATATTTTTTATACCACTCACGTCTACCACTCAAGGTGCCAAAAGGCACTCCACTATTATTCCAGCTCTTGCTAGGCTACCAGTTTTGCTACTCACAGCATACAAGGAATTCCTTCCTACTGGTACCCCTTTAACACCTGGGTAGAGAGTGGCAAATGTAGGTTGATGTCTTGCGAAAGGACACCAGTGCTGTACCGGGGCTCGAAACCCACAATCTCCAGCAATGAATTTTAGTGTGAATATATCTACATGGAATGCATAATTGAGCTCATATTTGTTTCCACTGAAAATGACAACTCTGCAATGCCACATAGGTTTGTACAATATGCATATGCTCACGGCTTCTGTATCAGTAGGTTTTACAAAAGCATTGGCATGTGTCTATTTCCATCCCTGGCTATCATGTAAATTATCTTTAATCTGTTGTCATACACTTGTTTCGTATTCTACTTATGATGAGACAAAACTTCATTGCAGCTTAGAATAGCTAGTATCTGATGAAATGTTATAGGAGCTAACCAAAATCAGATATGGGCTTGAAAGCCTATCTGTACTAGTTTTGGCCAGGAGGGAGTAGACCTCCCTGTAAGGTCACTGGCAGGTGGTTATCTCATCAAATCAGCTCTCAATTAACATCAGAAAAACGGGATCATGGGGGACCTCACCGATTAGGCATTGTTTGCTATACACTGAGGCACAAGTAGCTATAAGTAGTGCAGTGGGGCTTTAAGGTGTTATTTTCTCTTACTTTGCAAGGTGCTCTTTAAGATCTTGCCGCATGATGACACTTCCATGCACATAAGCTATGACTCATTGTTGCTTACCCTCTACACAATCATTCATTACACTGTATTAGGCCTGTCCTCATCAGCTCGAGATTGCCAAATAGCATGCTATTTCTGATTTAAGAAATAATCCCGAAGTTACAAATCGCGTTTTCATCAGCTCGAGATTTGACCTTGATACTTGAAACTCAAGCTCGAGAAATTAGCTTAAGATATTTTGCTCAGCATTCGCGCATAGTGCGAGTCTTTGGGCTGGTGAAGACACACCGGACAAATAGCGGGATATTTTGCAAACTATAGCCCAAGATATCTTGAATGATTATCTCGACCAAATATCACAGTAATTGCAACTTCGGGATGATGAAGATGCAAATTAAGTGGATAATTTGCGATCGGGATAGTTTAAATAGAGGGATATTTGGCAATCTCATGCTGATGACGATAGGCCTATTTAGAACGATTCTTGGAATCTGATGGAGCCCCGAAAGACCTGGATGTGACTCTTTTTTGGGCATATACTGAACAAAGAAATAGAATATCACTTACCCAAACATACCCCCCCCCCCCATCTAAAAAAACATGACAACAACAAAGCAAAACAAAACAAAGACTAACATTTTTCTAAATTTGTTATTATGTCCTGACTCTGGAAGCCATTACAGAATATACATACATGTAGCTAACAAATACTTCATATTCTTTCAATTAGACTTTAGTATGTTTGTACTTCAGGAGTTTGTTCTGTCTTGTTCTAGCTGGTATCTTCTAATTAGTGAAAAGGCTCAAGTGATTTTTCTTTTTTCATTCAGAGTGAATTTAGCTAAATTGAGCTTAATGATTTAGCTATGGGTGAGAGAAATGGGGGCACTTTAAGAAAATTAGAAAATCATGGGGTGGGGGCTGTATATGATATGTTATGTATTTTGTTGTGTGTGAGACCACATCTATGCATGAACTGAAGCCTACAGTGCATGTACATTGTTTATTAAAGCATAAATGAGCTGTAATATTTGACAAGAAGAATTATGCCACTTTATATTGCATAAATCAGTTAATGCAATATACTTTGGAATCAAGTGGTTTTAGCACTTGACTGCAGAGGTAATGGGATAGAGCCCCAGTGCAGTGTGAGTGTCCTTTAGCAAGACATATCTACATTTATCACCATCCATCCAGGTATTAGATAGGTACCAGAAGGGAGGAATTCTTTGAATGCTGTGAGCACTTATCGGTAGCCAGGCTGGAGCTGGGTAATATTGGAGCACCTCTTCCTTGGGTGTTTGACATAAATGCTATAAACATATTTAATTTAACAATATTACATTTGTATTATTAATAATTTCTTCATTATTTTTCATCAGATCCCAATGACAGTGTTGAGAACTATCCAAGTGATGGGCTCCAGGAATCAAACGCAGACGTTGAGATTCATCAAGCTGAAAACAACGGCAGTGTCATCTTGTTAGCAGAATGGCAATTCATCCGTAAGTTTACCCATTAACTACTATTTCTTTTATGCCCCTTTTACTTGGCCTGTATGCCAGTTCTCAAATTTTAAACCTAACACTGGGTTTCGTCTTTTGTTCAAAATTGGTATAACTAAAGGAAGTTTGATAGTCTGAGGTCTTTTCTTTAAAAAAAAAAACATGATTATAGACCCAAGGATCACTGAGGTTCAACTGAATTAGAATATTGACCATAGGCTTTCATACAGGAGCCGCTCAGTCCTGTATGAGGCAAGTGGTCAAGTCAACTGTTATCCCTCCATCAGCCTCACTGCTAAATTACCCCAAAATGACCAATAATCAATGGATTCTTTGCCATTTGGGGTCATATAATTGTTTTTTTTTTTTTTTTTTTTTTTTTTTTGGGGGGGGGGGGGGGGGTCTGGTCTATTATAAGTCTGTCAGTAGGACTGGGTTATAAGGTAGGATTTACACAATGTTATCGATTATAAGTACAGGCATGAATAAACAGTGCCAAAGTCACTTTTCCAGAGGAAGGACAATTCTGTAGTTCATATAATTTGTTAATAGTGGGAATTTTTATATTTATGCAGCATTGTTTCTGAGAAATGTGTCATTTTAAAGAAATTTATAGGAAGAAGGGTAGTTCATCTGAAAGTCAACTAACGACTGAATGAAGATTCCCCATGTAGTACGTGAGAGACATCAAGCTTTCAAACTAATTCTAAAATGTTCTGCTGTCACTCAAGTTTGCTTTCCGTGAAGGACTATTTACTTAACTGAAGCTGCAGGGGTGGTAGAATCGGATCCTCCAATTTATCAAAATATTTTCGTAGAATGTAGTTCTATTTCAAAATATGACTAAGTAAATTTGATTTGTATACATCACTTACTTACAAATTCTTAAGATTTCAAACGTTGTTTTCTGTGCAGTATGCAACACTGTGCACCCATAACATTACTGAATAAGAAATACAACTACTGGGTAGAGGTGTGATATACATGTAAAGTAATTATGAACCATCTAAAGCTATAGGTAGGGGCGTATGTTTTGACTCTCAACATTTACCCCAAACTCGATGAAACACTTTATTTGAAAGCATGTTCCTGTTAAAATCTAAGGCATCTTGACATAGCTGTCGATATCATGTAACATATGGTAGGCATTTGTACGTATCAAGGGTGCATAGTAATGATGGATCAAATTTGTCAAACGTCATAGCAAAGTCCTGTACAGGCATGTGGAGAAGAGGACACAAGAGGGCAGTATACAAGAAATGTGAATAGTGATCATGAGTTTTCTTCAATGAGAGTGCAAGGTCTGGAATAAAATAGCGTGTAAAGCTGTTGTCTTTGAATAAAAATCATACCTTTGATAGAATTTTGGTATGAATATATAAGTCTAAGCCATCTATGTTGAAATTTTGTGCACTTTTGGTTCAAAGTCTAAGAAAATGATAGCATAATTACAATACTTCATGAAGAAGTACTTCAAGTATGTAATTTTCTTGAACCTTTTTTTGTGTGTATCTAAGTTATCTAAAGGTAATCAAAATTTGTGTGCATATGACTGCATATATTATCTGTGTTCATCATATGCACATAACATATTAGTTAGTGGTGATATAAACTTGTAATTTGATTTTGATAAAGAATATGAGAGTGCCTTCAACCAAAGCAACAACCATCTATTACTCTTTTAATACAGAATATTGAGCAATTATGTTTCTGCTGAGCATTATTGCCTTGATGTGAGCAACAGATGGCAGCATTTGAAATTTTGGATCAGAGCCATCTATACACAGAGTTTGGCCAGCTTGGTTTTCTGTAGGTCACAACGTACATGGCGTATGTTCTTTTGTAATAGCCATATTGTACCAAACTTGAACCAGGTTAACCCTACTCTCCTACATGTTATCAATTGCACTGCTTTGGAATAAGGCTCTCTCATCTCTGATTCTCGATCCTTTGGAGAGATTGCTTTTATTTAAAGGAAGATTTTACAACGATACTTTTATGACATACAATGTTTTCTGCTTTTTGGAAGATAAAATGGCAAATTCAAGAAAACTAATTTCAGAAACTTTATTAAAGAGAAGGTTGAGTTCTGGGAAGAGATGAAACATAATTTGTGAGCGTTATCATTGTATGATGCAAGTGTGGAAGAACATCAGATAAAACATCTTCCCTGAAAAGCATGGCTCTTCAAATACCTTAATATTCTAAATATGGCATGTAACATAAAAATCGGGACGGATTTTTTCGGCACGTGTTCGTTTTAATAGTCCCATATACATCTTTCTGTGTACAGCGCTTGTAACTTTACCAAAACTGGCCCAAATTTCTTAGCATTTTGATGATTCCAGAACCTTGCAATACACATACACGGTAAATACTTATATGATCAATCTTTTCTGATCGATTCCACAACGTTTCTTTCACAATACAATCGCTTGACCAGAACTCAACCTTCTCTTTAAAGATTTCCTTTCGTGCTGCATGCTATAATTTCGATCAGACGTGATTATCTTTTTTCATACTTGTGCCCGTTTTCTTTTGCAGTGATTGTCGTTGGCTGTGTTGCTGTTGCCATCATCGGCGTTGCAATTGCTTTTATCTGCTGGTACAAGTAAGTGAAATAGAAAATTAAAAAACTAATGATAATAATAGAATGATTTATGTGTATATTGCTTGTGTGTCATTGTGATTTAAGCCTTGAGTGATCCAATTTAGCATATATATACACTTTATGATTCAGGCAATTCTTCTTTATTTCAGTATACACCATGCTGTTATTTCTATTGTGAATCTTTCTTTAGTGAATCTTTCTTTCTTTCTAATGGTCCTTTTAGATTCAACTTTTATTTTACTCTTTAAGTATGAAATTGCTCATATTTCCTCTAGTCTTATTTCTTGTTTCTGTCTTTTTCATCACTATATTTGTTTGATCCTTTTCCCTTTTTTGATCCGTTATTTTTTATTCTGTTTGCTTGATATGCATATTAATTTCCATTCATATTTCTTTAATGTAAAATATATTACATTCTAAGTCTTACACTCTGGTTGTGTTTACATATCTCTTTGTTGACCTTTCTTTCCCCCCCCCCCCCCCACATCTCTCTCTCTCTCTCTTTCTCTCTCTCTCTCTCTCTCTCTCTCTCTCTCTCTCTCCCTCCCTCCCTCCCTCCCTCCCTCCCTCCCTCCCTCTCTCTCTCCCTCTTTAGTATAATGTTTCTTACAGGTATATGCGATCATGTTAAAGTATTCTCAGGTATACCAGCATTTATTTTAAACCTTTTCTCCAAGCCAGAAATAATGATAGATTTTTTCTTCAATCGATTGTTCTTTGTGGCTCTAGATTGCATAAAACAAGGATCTCTGGATCATGTCCAGGTTTTTAGTTTACTGGTGTTTACCGTGAAAAATAACTAATGCTACCTGTCAAATTTGCAAAACCATAACTCCGGGTCAATGGATTTGTACTTTTACTGACTATACTCTTCAAGAACAATATGTAATGTATCTGATGTACGTGTTTACGACCCAAGCATGTGATTTATGTTGGCATACTTGTATTTACTGTCAGTGGTGACTATTGCGTAGTTGATTATTGAAGGAACTTTTATGAAGCTTGCAAGATAAATTACAGTGCTCTATTGCTGTGATGGGTTCTACATTGTCTTCCAGGTGAGATGAGGTGTCTAGCTAAGTGCTTTGTATGTATTTTTCTTTCTGTAGATATGTTCATTTAACTGATATGTTTGTGAATTTGATTTTGTTGGCAAGGGAGAGATTGCAACTAGGAAATGATACGAGGCAGTGAATGAGCAAAATGCAAGAAGGGGAGAAGGAAAGACAAGGGAAAGAGTGGAATATATATATATATATGTTTTGTTAGAAAAGTATATGATATGTCTAGATTGAAACGAAACTCTGTGGGGTAGAGATTTACAAAGGGAGGGGCACACGTAGACGGAAAGAGAGGTAGACAACATGCAGAGAGGCGTATACATTGTACAGAAAGATAGGGACAGAGGGACAGACAAACAGATGGATAGATAGATAGATAGATAGATAGATAGATAGAGATAGAGATAGAAAGAGAATATGAGAGACCAGGGGATTGGCCAGGAGGCAAGGACATGAAAGGCATGCAAGATTATTTGAAATAAGCTGGTTGTGATAGGGAAGTTTAGGGACAGCAAATGACAGCACAGAGAGATGAGAAACAGAGAAAGAAACTGAGAACACAAGATAGGATCTAAGTAGATTTGATGGTGCCATCATACCAGCCAAATGTAATCTTTTCTTCAAACACACCCCCAAACCCCGTCAATGAATGTACAGTGTGTTTAGCAAATACTCCTTGTTTATTAAATGGAGGGAGAGATCAAGACATGCATGTTGATCAACCTGTAGATGTCCTAATATGCCAGCAATTTGGTGTTCATGTGACAATAGTGGATTGCAGTGACACATAGACCTACTCTTGTGTATGTCATTAGTGTTTTGTTGCTCATGGAGAACAGTTTCTAGTTGTTTCTGGATCCATAGTGATCAAGAACCAGTGCATTCCAAAACAAACTATGGGAAGTTGATTGAAGCGAGTGTGAATTTCCTCCAGGAACTCCTGAACTGAGAGACTTTCTTTTCTTCTTGGATAAGTTCTATACTACACCGGTCTCATACAGGGCACAGGATCTATAGTTCTAGAGGTTGAACCCTAACAGATCTAAGAGACCAGATTCTATCACATTGGACTGCTTGTTTTACAGTACAGGGTAGCTTTGTACTAATTGGATTGTTGACTAATTATGCTGTTGTTATTGGTCTAATGACTAATTAAGCTTGTAAGGCTTCTTTTTTTCTTCTAAGGCTTCTTTTTTCTTCTAAGTGAGGATAAGCCATTTTGGAAAATGAATCTCTAGGATTTGCTGATCTGAATGACCAAATTGTATCACTCTAAAATAAACTGCAGACTACATTGTGTTACATGGCGTTTACACTAGAAGGGAGCTTTAATTAAAGGAGCTCTATACTGGCAGAAAAAGACATCAAAGTTTTTTCATGAAGATTTTGCAATCGTCAAGATATTGAAATCGCAGTATATTCAGCAACAAAATGACTTTCATTCTAGCAAATTTTACTTTATAATGATCTGTAGTGTGTGAAATATGACAAGCACAGTATTTCACTGCCTTAGTTGTTGTTTCTGTTATCCTGATAATGACAAGCGCCCTCTTGTGGTGGATGACGTCGCAGTGAGGAAGGCCATCAAGGAATCCACTCGATTGTAAGTGACTTTTAACCTCTGTCGGCTTTGGCAAATATGAGTACGGGAAAGTGGTTTGTATAGTGTGTTTGGCATTCTAATGAAAGTCGATCCAAGTTGCCATTAAGGGGCAGTTAATATGTAATGGGTTGGTAGGTGAAAAGCGGAGATGGAAGATGGATTTTTGTTGTTCGTCTCGCGTGTTCTGCCAAGGGCAAGTCTACGCACCAAAGCCCTCTTTAGTTATTTCTCCATCCCTCTCTATCTTTAGTCTTCTTATTCATTTTTGTCATATATGATCTGTCACCTTTAATGTCAAGTCTGACACCATTCTAGTTGTTGGCCTAGCTTTTCCGTCCCTCCAACTAATTTCTTCACAAAACTTGTCATCAGTGATAAATGGCAGTGTTTGTTATAAGCTACTGAAATCCTTGCTTCCGATTGGATATCAGCAGATTTGTCACTGATTTTTTGTCATTTGTCATTGAAAAAAGGCTTTGTGAAACAGCACCTGTTCTTCTCTACAATCGCATGTCCAAACTTTCAATCAACCTTTCCTTTCATACGAAGGGTGTCAGAAAGTGAAGCTCTACCAAAGATTCTTTTTTACTTTTTGAGAAATGCTTGTCTTGCTTGCATATTCACATAAACAAGCTAAACTGTAATTATTAATTTCATGATTCTTGTCCCATGCATTATATTTACTTTATTTCTTTATTCCCCCTCCTCCCCCCCCCCCCCCCAAAAAAAAAAATAAAAATAAAAAATATAAATATCATTCAGTACATGTTAATCACCAATCTTTAATGTTTCTTTCTGGTATCATTTTTTCTGCAGGTATGTCTAGGCTAGAAATGGTGTCCTTCTGTATACATCCTGTATACATACTACATGCATGCATGTTCATTTACATGAAATTGATCTTTCATGTGTATTCGGTCCCTTATTTCAAATGATAGACCAAAATATGGGTCAATATCCAATCATTTTCAAAGGTATCTTCCTGGTCTTTGTATGCATTTGTGATGCAATATCTTTTGCTATATGTTTAATGCACATTTGCTTGCATTAATTTCAGTTCAAGTTGAACAACAGCAGGATATATAACCTAACTCTTGTAGAAAAGGGAACTGGTTTTGTTCTTGGTTGTTGTTATATAAATTGATACATGCAATCCAGTTGCAGTTAACGGCGTACATGTCATAATAATCTGAACCGCGTGGACAGTTGGAAAGGAGAGCAAGGTTATTAACATTCAGGGAGAGAAAAATTTATTAAATTTTGTTCCATCTAGGTCACTATAATATTGCTCTCTCCATGTCATATTCATAAAGACCAACTTTGCAATCAAGATATATCCAGTCAATAGTTTTTGTCAGTGTCTATATGATGAGAAACCATCAAAATCATGACAGCCAAATTATTAATATTTCTCTCCTTTGTAGATGAAGAAGTCCCACTTTTATTCTTTTTCTACCTCTTGCCCTTCATTTTAATATTTTTTTGAAATTCTTTTCCTGCCTTCCTTTTTTTTTCTTTGTCAACACCATATTTCATTCATTCATTCCCTTCAAGTATTGTATGACTCATAGTTTAATATACTTGCTATATCTTTATGCTTTATATTTGGTATGTGTTTACCAATTGTTGGGAGACAGAAGGGCATTATTTAGGACCAGATGAATTAACGCCTTTTAATTCTGGCTCTCAAAAAATTGCATAATTATCTTAATTCTCTTATTCTTAATGATGCTCAACCCATTTTAAATTAATTTTTTTGTAATGGATTGTATAAAATGAAAATGCATTTGTGTATGTTTCATGTGGTACATGTCCCTGCCACTGCCATTTTCTCCATAATATTAAATCTATACTATACTTGAAGCACTACCGCAATCCCCTCTTGTGCCCTCTCAAGTCTGCTGTACTATGGTACCATAACTCGCTGCTTTCCTAGCTGCGCTGATGGTTTTCACATCGACTCCTCTATCTGAGAAGTGAGCATTAGGTATTAGGTTACACCCTGTAGGCAAGTTGACCATGTTATGGCGCTGTGCAATAAACAGTATGCTAGGACATAAAAGTTCATCAGCTAAGTATCGCTTTAAGCGTTTTCCTCTGGATTTGTCCATTTCAATTTTCTTTTGTTCTCGATCTTCATGACTATCTCATTGCTTTTGTCTGTAAATGTAGCTCCAAGACACCAATCCAAAGAAGATTGAAGAAAATCAAATACTTAGAAATTAATCTCCTCCAGAAGCATATTAGGCTAATTGGACCCTGATTTGATTCATTTTAATTTTCATGATTTTATATTATTTTCTACATCCATCAAGGCCTGATGGCAAAAGAAAAGC